TTTCAAAAAGTTTGTGAAAAATGTAATGACAGAAAATGAAATTTTTCCATGAACTTTTTGAAGTCCCTTTATATATGTATACCTCCTATCTATAATTCCATCATAGTTAATTTGATGATTTGCTTATATTCTATCATATTCACATTTTTCCTAAATATTTGTTATGATCTTTTAGCCTTATTCATCACAGCATCAATATCTCTTCCCACTTCTTACTAAATTACCTATTAAAAAGAAACTTCTCCATTCTTATTAACAAAGTACTTCTTGGAGGTAATTTTCTGCTTCCTGTTCTAATTTAGAGTAAATTCTTACTGGTGCAGCTAAATAACTGTCATTCTGGGAATTACTTTCACTAAATTCCTGGGATAGTTTTACTATTTCTTGTAACTTATAACTTCTTCTTCCCTACTTACGATCGTACTGTACTCGAATTAAATGTCCTTTAGGTAACTTTCTAAGAAATAGTTTATCCTAACATGTCAATTTTCTGAGCTTTAAATATCTGAAAATGTCTTTAACTGTTTTTTTTCTAGCTTTTGTGGCCCCATGCCTTCCTTAATTTCCCACATCTCACTAGCTGCTCCTCTCAGACCAACTCCTCCATATATATGACCTGAACTACACGTGTTCCCTTTGAGTCGGTTCTGCTTTGTATGTCAAAGTAGAATAATGCTCCACAGGGTTTTCAGTAGCTGACTTTTCAGAGTAGATCATTAGCTCTTTCTTCAGAGGTGCCCCTGTATGAACTCCAATCATCAACCCTTACTTAGCAGCTGAACACATCAACCATTTATGCCACCCAAGGACTCCATCTTTTGTATGCTGTTGTTACTGTGATCAGACATCTAGGTGATTCCATCTCATAGTAAGTGACCCAATAGGACACAGTACAGCTTTTCCATTGGGGATCCTAATCTGATATCTTTGCCAAAGGAAACCACCAAGTCTTTTATAGAACATCTAGCTCTCAGTTATGACCCTGATCCTCTCCCTAATTTTTCTCTAGATAATTTCACCCATTCCCAGACACCACTTCTATATGCTGACCATTCTAGACTTTATCTCTCTGAGACTCTTCCTTAGGAATCCAGGGTAAACATCTAGTTATGTGCTTTACATTTCCATTTGGATGTATCACGACAACTCATACTAAACATGCCCATGGCCAAACTCAATTTCCCTAACAAATCTTAAATATGTCTCAGGAAGTAGAATTACTAGCTACCCATTACTCAAGTTGGAAATTTGGGAGTCATCCTTGATTTATTCCCCATGCTCTTACATACTGAAATCCATTACCAAATCCTGTCACCGTAATCTACAAAAAATAATATCATAAAATCCATCCCTCTCAATCTCTATCCCTTGCCATAACTGTGTTCAAGCAATCACCTCTCAGATACATTCAAATCCACTGCCATTGAATTCATTCTTACACCATCAGCCTACAGATTAGAAGAGTCTCAGTTTGCCATTGCAAATTCACTAATCAACTAAATCATTTCCCCCTGTATCTTCTTAAACAGGGAAATAATCTGCTGCAACGAGTGGTCCCAATGCTTATATTATGTCCTCCTTTCAGAGGAATAAAAGCTGGGTATTAGACATACTCCAAACGAAGAACACACTCTATTTCTAATGTTAAGTATCATTCTATTGATTTTAATTGTTATTGTTGTTGTTAATTGCCTTCTAATCAGTTCCAACTCATAACAACCCTATGTAGGGTTTCCAAGGAGCAGCTCGTGAGTTTGAATCGCTAACTTTGTGGTTCAAACCAACCTTATGGTCTAGAGCTTTATCTCACAGCGCCACAAAGAAATATCTAAGTATTAACTAACTTATACCAGTTTAAAGTAGTCCTGGTGTGGGACTGTAGGATAAACACTAGAATCCTACCCATAAGACTGTCAGTTCAAACCCACAAGCAGTCCCTTGAAAACTCTATACAGGGTCGCTGTAAGTCAAAACCGACTAAATGACACTTAACAATAAAAACAACCAGTGTAAATGATCAATAATATTGTCTAACAATATAGTTCATAACTCAAGAATTAAAATGTTTGATTCAAATCAATTACATGTGAAAATTATCTTAAGCGCCCATATATATTAAGTGGTAAAGACAAAGACTGTGGAGCTTGCCTAATGGTCTACATTAAAATTCTCACCTACCACATCCCTGTGTGATCTCCAGCACAGAAAAGTATTTCATCTCCCTGTGCCCTGTTTCTTAGCCATAAAACAGAAACACTCATAATGACTAATCTCATAGAGTTGCTACAAAAATGAAACTTAAACCTATCTGGAATGAAATAAGTGCCCAATAATACTAGCTAATAATAGTAGCAAATGTAATAACAGTTGTTGTTGTCAAGTGTCATAGAGTCTGTTCTGACAGATAGGTATCCTACGCACAACAGAATGAAACAATGCTTGGTCTTGTGCCAACCTCACAATTATCATTACGGTTGAGTTCAATGATGCTGCCATTTGAAAATAATCCATCTCATTGGTGGTCTTCAACTTTTTCACTGACCCTCCACTTTACCAAGCATGAAGTCCTTCTCCAAGGACTGGTCCCTCCTGAAAATAAGTCCAAAATAATATGAAAGATGAAATAGTGCAATCCTAGCTACTAAGCTAGATGTACTTCTCCCAACACAAATTTCTTTGTTCTTCTGGCAGTCCATGGTACCTTTAATATTCTTCAGCAATATCATAATTCAAATATATCAATTCTTTTAGTCTTCCTTATTCATTGTCCAACTTCCAAATGCATATGAAGCTACTGAAAATACCATAGCTTGGGTCAGGTGCACCTCAGTCCTCACACAGCCAACTTTGCAACTGAACACTTTAAAGAGTTCTTGTACAGCAAATTGCCTAATGCTATGCAATGTTTGATTTGACTGATGCTTCTATGAGTGTTGATAGTGGTATCAAGCAAAATGAAGTCTTTGACAACTTCAATTTTTTTCTCCAGGTATCATGATTTTTTTATTGGTCCAGTTGAATGGATTTTTGTTTTCTTTGCCTTGGGATGCAAACCATACTGAAGGTCATGGTCTTGGATCTTCATCAGTAAGTGCTTTAAGTCTTCTTCACTTTCAACAAGCAAGGTGGTATCTTCTACATATGACTGTTAATGAGTCTTCCACCAATCCTGATGGCACGTTCTTCTTCATATAATTTGCTCAGCATACAGAATGAATAAGTATGATGAAAGAATACAACCCTGATGCACACATTTTCTGATTTTAAACCATCCAGTGTCCCCTTGTTCTGTTCTAACAGCTGCTTTTTGGTCTACGTACAGGTTCCTCATGAGCACAATTATGTGTTACAGAATACCCATTTTTACCGCAATGTTGTCCAGAGTCTGTCATGATCCATACAACAGAAAGTCTCTGCATACTCAATAAAGCACAGGTAAACATCTTTCTGGTACTATCTGCTTTTAGCCAAGATCGATCAGACATCAGCAATGATATCCCTTGCTCTACATCTTCATCTGAATCCAGCTTGAAACTCTGGCAATACCCTGTTAATACACTGTTGTAGCATTTTTAAACTATCTTTAGCTAAATTTTACTAGCAAGTGATATTAATGATGTTGTCCAATGATTTCCATATTCCATGGAGTCACCTCTTTGGAATGGGCACAAATATGAATCTCTCCCAATAAGTTGGCCAAGTAGCTGTCTTGCAAATTTCTTGGCATAGATGAGTAGGGTTAATTCTTATAACTAGAATTTCTGCCTTTCTCCTATAAAAACAAATAAATTAAACAGACTAAAGTTGGCATTCATAAGTTTGTAGTTTTGACTGTTTTTTGTTGTAGCAACATAGAACTCATATGTGGAATAACTCATATGTGAAAAATTCATTGGAAGTTTTCATGTGAACTTGATAATATGAATTTCAATTAAACTTTGTTGTCCCCTAGTTATCACTATATGACGGGACTTTGAAAAGTTCATGGAAAAAAAATCTATCATATTTTATTTTTCTACACACATTCTAAAGCCTCCTCATACATAAACTGTAAATCTTAAGATGGGTTACAAATCTGATTCTTAGAAAACAGGTACTCTAAAAGGCCAGTGCTGATGATGAACTGAAAATTGAAATGAAGACATTAACTAAAATGATAATTCTTGAAGGCAAAGCTGTCAGGACTGTAAAATGTAAACCATCGGCGTTCATATATTTCAACTAACTAACTAAAAGCTAAAATATTAGATTCTACAGTGCTCATATCCATTGAAAAATTCCACATTTTGCTTTTCTTCTTAACTCTGCAACGCCAAGGGTAGGTTACACACGTATACATGCACATGCTCAGATTCTCTTTCTTGTGTTCTATCTTTACTCATATATTTCCAAATATGTTGTGGTTGTTAAGTGCTGTCAAGTCTGTTCTGACTCATAGCAATCCTGTATAGGATTTCAAAGGAGCAGTTAGTGGGCTTGAACTGTCAACCTTGCAATTAGCAGTCCACTGCATATCCTACAGCACCATATCAGGACTCCTCTGCAAATACAGCTACTAGCTAAAGTCTCATAATGTATCTCTCAGTGATATGAAAGTTCCATTGTATTAAGCTAAAGTGTTTTCAGAAATATGAAATTGATCTAACATGAGGGAGTGCTGTGGATCTTTACAATAAGCACAAGATGGCAACCACAAGGTTGATGGCTCAAGCCCACCAGCTGTTTCATGTGACAAAGATAAGGCATTGTGCTCCCCAGAGACTTACAGCCTCGGAAACCCTATACAAGGTTGCCATGAGTTGGAGCGGACTTAACAACAATGTTGAGTCATGATGTCCTCTAAATTCAAAGGGTTTCAAATCAGTCTATAAATTCTAAAACATTGATACAAAAACACAATACTATTATATTTTTTAATCTATGTAAGCATGTCAGTTACAGAAAGATTTCATTTTTCTCATAGCTAATGGGTCCACTGAAAAACATATTCTGCTTTTTACCGGATTCTTCTTGAAAATTCCCTGTTGAGATCATCTCCCAGGCGAATTTGTTCACTGCTGAGGTCTCGTAGTGACTGATGTAAAACATGAATCTAAATAAAGGCAAAACACAGTTTTCCATTTAGGATTCTGTTTAATTTATCCATGAAAATTCACTGAAGAGAAATATAATTCTTGTTCTTTGCAATATGCCCAAATTCTTTACGGACTGTTATTTGAAAAATAAAACACAATAAACATCTATCATATCCTGCAAGAAATATTTTTTCACGAGGAATTTTTTTTTTTTAATGTATACATAACATAAACTAATTGATCCTCTTTAGTGCATCTATTCCTCTGCTAGAGAAGGGACAGCAAGCATTTTCTGTAAATGGTCAGATAGCAAATATTTCACACTCAATAGCTATGTGGACTCTGTTGTAACTCAATTCTACTGCTGTAGCACAAAAGCAGCCATAAAAATGAACATGACTATGTTCCAATAAAACTTTATTCTTCCAGCCCACAGTGTGCATTACTAAATCCTGCTCTAGAAAAAAATTTCTGCCCACATGCACCTGGAATCATGTATAAGAATGACTGGAGTAACGGTGTTCATAAGAGAACACTGGAAACAAAGTAAAACTTCATCAACAGTAAAATGGAGATAAACACATTACAGTATATTCTGCAAACAAAACAGCATATTGAAGTGAAAAGAGACAATTCAAGTTATCCACACATTAGTAAGGCTGAATCTCAAAAACATAACATGGAGTAATAAAAGCAAATCACACACACAAAAAAAGATCTACAGGATCATTCTATTTACATAACATCTAAAGGTAGGCGAGACTAAACAAGTTATTGTTGTTAAGTGTCGTGGAGTCAGTTCCAACTCATAGGGTTTCTGAGAAGTAGCTGTTGGGTTTGAATCACCAACCTTGTAGTAAACAGTCCAGTGCTTACTCTACAGTGACACACCAGGACTCCACTAAATAAGATATAAGTAGTAAAAATTGTATTTTAAAAAAGTAAGAGAATAATTAGTATAAAAGTCAAGATAATGGATGTGCTGTAGGGAGAGGAGATGTGTAAAAAAAAAAGGCTTTGAGATGAGCCTCTATTTCTTGTAGTGACTGGTAGTTACATGGTGTTCATTCTATTTTTGTTCTTTCAACCAAAGATATATGTACAGGTATACTGTATTACACAATATCTTTTTTTTTTAGTTTCCAGATTTTAAGAAAAACAAAATCGATTCTTTTTAATAAATGCCCATTAAACAACTAATCAATGTCAGCTATGCAGGAACACAAGTGGCTCACAATGTAATATGGGAAACACAACTTAGAAATGAGGGGCAAAAAGAAAGTATACGGTCATGTGAAATTAATGGTCATCTTGAGATAATGGACAACTGAAAATATAAAAAAAGAATTACGAAGAAAAATTAACAATAAAGGAGAGGAGGTAGTACACTAAATGAACAGTAGGACTTCTGCTTAGGTGTCTTACAAATGTCTAATTTTGCAAACTAGACTCCTAAAACTCATCCTTGACTTCACTCTTCCACTCATTCCAACCTTCCCCACATGACCAACAAAGCTTCAAGAACTTTCAGTATTATCAACTATAGGTCTTAAATCCACTTCCTTCTTTCCAACTCCACTTCACCATCCAAATCCAAATAACCACCATCTTATTGCCAAAACAAAGAAAATCCTCCCAATCAGTTTGCCCACATTAACACCATTTTATACACTAGAACCAGAGTGATTTTTTTTCTAAATAATCATGTCATCCCTTTACAACATCTCAGTCCTTCATACTTCTTCAGCCACAGGGTCTTCTTTAAATTGCTATCTTCCTTCCTGCCAATCAGTAAGTTCTACCTGAAATGAGTCATACACAACTCTTGGATCTCAACTCAACCAGCCTTTCATCAACAGAGCATTCCCTGACTAAGGTAGGTTCTTTTACTGAAAATTCCATTGTCCTATGCTCTTTCTGTGGAATCCTGGTATTGCACTGTAAGATAAGCAATGGACATCTTAACCACAAGGTTGGTGGTTCAAACCTATGAGTTGCTCCTCTGAAACCCTATACAGGGTCACTGAGTCCAAATCAACTCAAAGGCACTCAACCACAATGCTTTTTCTGGAGTCCTGGTGTGATGCTGTAGGATAAGTACTGGACTGCTAATCACAAGATTAACAGTTCAAACCCACCAGCTGCTCCTTGGAAACCCAATACAAGGTCGCTATGACTTGAAACCAACTCAACAGCACTTAACAACAAAATGCTTTTTCTATTTTACCACATATCTCAGTTCATAATTTTGAGTGTGTTTATATACATATTTGATTAATATCTAGCTCCTTCTATAAATTCTAAACTCCCTGAAAAAGTAACGCCATGCCTACTTCTGCTCATCACTGTTACCAAGCACAAGCATTATTTCTGACACAGAAGCATACAATTAATTGAATACAATGAAAGATTAATAAGTAATTTTAAGTAACTTGCTTTCTGCTGTAAATTTAATCATATAGTCCACATAGAATAGTTGGCACCTATCCAAAAAAGAATACATTTGAGGAAAGCTTCCACAAGGCACTGTGCAATGCACTATAACATGCAACCAGTACACATGGGTTTCCTAAGACAAATTTTGAGCTCCTAATCCTAGTACTTCTAAAGCAAGGAAGTCAAAGCCTGAAACTCCCATAGCACTTTTCTAACTAATGTAGTGACTCAGAGCAAGAAAAAGAAAAATTTCAGCTGTTTGGATAAGTTTAAAGACACAGAATAATAAACACGTTCATAGAACTAACACTTCAGAAATCTTTAGTGAATACGGAGCGAAGTATGAAAGTTCTAACTTACTAGAAAGTGGCTCTGTCAATGATTCAACAATCAGAAAAACACCAATACTGGAAAAATTGTTAGATCAATTACACGAGGACTAACTTTTCTTACTAAGCAAAACTTAGCAAAATAAAAAGTAGCTGAGTTAGCAGGAGTTGCAAACGAGTTAGTCACCTAAGCAAGGAAACCAAACTAAGGTCACTTTCAATTGTTCTACAAAATATAATCCTCTGTACAGGGTCGCTATGGGTCGGAACCGACTCGACGGCACTTAACAACAAACAACAACAACAACAACACTGGAAATAAACATATGTTCAAGAGAAGCACGGATAGTACAGTAGCTCTGTACAATAAGCACTAAACTGAGAATCTTAAGGTTGGTGGTTACAGCCCACTAGCTACTCTATGGAAAAATAATGAAGCTTTCTGCTCCTGCAAAGAGGTACAGCCTTGGAAACCCTATACAAGGTCACTATGAGTCAGAAGCAACTCAACTGTACTTAACAAAACAACAAAGTACATTCAAAATTAAATCATTTACTTGATTAAAAAGAAAAAAAAATCAATAAAAAGCTACTGATACTCAAACTCTTGGCCAAAATATAGCCATAATATTCAAGCACTAGTCATTTAGATAGAAATGTAAGAAATGCTTACATACATATTACAGAATGGTCATAAGTACCTGACCCACGTCATTGGTCTCTCCAACAAACCGGACACCAGTTGGTCTGGACTTGATTGGTTTACTACCTTGTGGATCCACATAGTCTTTGAGAGGTGAGGTAGGCGGAAAACGGTGGCTCTCTATACAAATGGATAAAAGGAAAGGATTACCAAGAAAACTACATGAGAAGAAACCATCTAAAATTTTACATAGTGCATGCACACTAGATATGGACACGTGCCCTTAACCTATTTATTTCCAAGTATACTTCTACGGCCAAAAATAAAACACCACTGACACTAACGTCGTCTTTAAAACAGATAAAATGAAAAGCAGAAACAACCTGGAAATTCCTGAAATCCCAAACTCAAACCCAACCCCAACGGCTGCCATCTAGTCGATTCCAACACATAGTGATCCTATATGAAATAGTAGAAGTGCCCTACCGGGTTTCCAAACCTGCAATCTTTACAGAGCAGACTGTCACATCTTTACCCCATTTGGTTGGATGATTGATTCAAACCACCAACCTTTCAGTTAGTAGTTGAGTGCCTTAACCACTGCACCACCAGAGCATCTTACTTATAAATAGAACACATCAATAGTTTCAATTTGCTGTACTCTACAAAGAGGCATTATGATCATGCTCCCTCATAAGAAAATGTGAACTAAACTAACTCTTGCTGTTGTTGTTTAGTGCTGTCTTAGACCTCCCTTATATGTAACTTGGAATCTTGGGGTAATGCCATAGGCTAAGCACTGGGCTGGCAATATAAAAGGCACAGGCTCAACCCCACCAGTCATTCCCTGGAAATCCTATACAGGGTTACTATGAGGCAGAACTGAATCAATGGCACTTATCAACTACAACAAGATGTAATGTAACATTAGCAAAACAAAAATTTTCAGATAAGTAATTAATTTTACTAAAATCTGAATGGTATAACTAAAAATCAATAAAAAACACACAACCAACCATCCAACCACTAAACCATCTAACCAACCACCCAACCAACCAACCACCCATTCAAATATATATACATATATATATGGAGTCCTGATGTGGCACTGTGGGGTAATATGCTGAACCACAAGGTTGGTTTGAACTGTAATGTCAGTGGATCAACCTCTCTCACTGCTCCTTGGAAACCCTACACAGGGTCGCTATGAGTCGACAGCACTTAACAACAGCAAACATAGATATATAGATACAGATATACCAACTTGTGGCACTTAACAACAACAATAAATACACATATATGGTGACTTGGTCCAAGTTTTAATCATTATAATAATCAACAGCAATATTTATAATGTAAGGTATTAATGTTCACTATAAATCATCTTTCTTCACTCAAGAATTAAGTCTTTTCTAACCACATATGAATCATAGTGCAGTAGGAAAGCATAGATGAACTAAAAATTAAGTCCTGTCACTTAATCTAGCCAAGGCTAATATTTATCTGTCCTTAAAAAGTGACATAGTATAGTTCATAACTAAATATTTGAAAACTATGACTCTAAGACTCCATACCTAGAAAGCATGCCACATAGTGAACTTTATTTGTATGGTTGTTTTCTTGGGTAGCCAACTACTATATTTAAGTGTAGGCAGGTGAAGCTTTATATCGGTGGAGTGTGAGAAAAGCACAATAAATAGACTCCAATAACAAAGTCACTTAGCATATTTCAAAGTGAGTTCTATAAAACCCTTCATATCCCTGACAACTGCATCTTCAAACACACACTCTGTACAATTTTAGGTATGACTTGCATTTCAAAAGATTAACTGTACTTCATGGACTTCAAAAATATTTTATAAAACAGTTTTCAAAAGATTGGAGACTTTACCTGTTGCAGGGCCACCATCCAGGTCACTTGCACTCAGACTTGTAACAGAAACACTTCTTCCTCCTGAGTTTCTCAATAAACGTTGACTCCGCAGTTGGCCTATTGACTGTTCCAAGCTTTCTTTTAACTAAATTAAAGAAAACGATAAAGGGAGTTTAAATATTTTAAACAACTTTCACATACAAATAGAGTACAGATTTTTTAAATGTAGGATAATGCTTCGGACCACAAGATTGGCTATGGGTCAGAACCAACTTGACAGCACTTAATAACAACAACAAGTGCCTAAAACAGTGATGGAGATGGTGGTGGTATGCCATGGAGTAGGTTCCAACTCATAGCAACCCTATACAGGGTTTCCAAGGCTGTAAATATTTACGGGAGCAGAAGGATCATTCTCCCAAGGAACTGCTGGTAATTTTGAACTCCTGACCTTGAGGTTAGCAGCCTGACTCATAGCTATTAAGCTACCAGAGCTCCTTGCCTAAAATAGTATGAGTACTTAAATAAATGTTAGCTATAATGAAAGAGAGAGACATTATTATGTTCATTATAGTGCTGATGAAATTCAAGCTCAAAAAGGTTAAATAATTTGCCCAAAGTGAATAAAGTGGTTTCTAATGGACAAATCAGGATTTAATTGCATCTCATTCCAAATTCTACATGTTACCCAGTCGCTTCAAAGCAAAATTCTGTAAAAAGTATTTTCCTGCCCTGTAGTTCCATGAGATACTTGAAAATAAAAATTTAAACAAGAGACTCTAAGAACTTAACTCCTAAGATCTGAAATATATTTACAAAAAGAAGGTCTTCGCATAATTTATTTGTTTATTTACACTTTCTTACTAACAGATTCTTCCTGGTTAACACTGTAGTTGCCAAGTGCCATCAAGCCCATTCTGGCTTATAATGGCTTAGAGTTTCCATGGAATGGCCAATGGGTTTGAACCACCAACCTTTTGGTTAACAGTCCAGTGCTTATCCCACAGCACCATGCCAGGATGCCAACATTAAATTTACTTTAAAAAGAGTAAAACAGAGGAGGCAGGGCTTGATGGAAGACAAGGCAGAAAAATCTGTGCAGACCCCCTTCAGTAAAATCATGGAAAAATCAGACAAAACAGATTCAGAGAATAGTCCCAGAACTTTGGATGTGATAAAGAGATAAATAAGTGGGCATCAAGTGCTTACTGGAGTAAGACCTGTAGCATAAACAAGAAAGGATGTGGCTTCTAATTTGGGGTGGCCAATGCATCTCACTGCAGCCATTCTGAATAGGAGTGAGTGGAAACAGGCTTAGGAGAGTATGACCATCACAGAAAACGGATATATCTGCAGGGATAAAGGGTCAAGCATTCCTTTTCTTATTCCTTTTTCATCTTTTTCTTTTGCTCTGTCTATCCATCTATGAGTCAGTACCGACTCAATGGTACCTTAAAACAACAACAACAACTCTGGGAGAGGGGAGACCTGGACAGGTAGACACTCCCAGGGAAGTTTCTGCTACACATACAGAGAGATCTGCACAGCACAGATCACACGGAACAGAATTGAAGGGGAAGCAGTCAACAGGAAGAGCTTGCAACAGAGGTGTCTTCCAAAGTGGGTCTGGCCAGCCCAAGACTGGTTCTCACTAAGAGAAACAGCTGAACAGATTGGAAAGGAAGAGAAAAAAACAAAGCCAAAACCAAACCTTGAGTTACATCACTGAGGCACCGTGAGAATAACTTGAAAGAATATTGAAGGATACAGACAGCATCAAGAGAAGAAGGACACAAGGAAGCCATCAAGGCAAGCAATCAAGTCCCTTCAGGTCAAACCCCTCTCTAAGACTGAAACTCAAAGGGAACATATGAGGAGGCATGCAACCTTGTTAGCAACCACATTGGTCTACTGTTGAGTGGAAGAGGAGGGAAAA